CCAAGAGGAATGGCTTAGGATAGCATGAAGAACAGAAGTCTGGGAAGTGACATGATAACAATCATTAAATATCCGAAAAGATGACCTATAAAATGAAACAAGTGTGTTTCCAGCTGCTCCACAGCCTAGGATACAAAGTAGTGGATTCAAATGACAAGAAAAAAGATTCCACCTAAACTTTATGAAGACAGTCTTGACAGTAGGGCTGTCTGTCTGTCAGTGGAAGACTGTTTCTTAAAGATGGTAGACCATCTCTCGTTGGAAATCTATAAAGACAGGATGGACAACTATCTGGACTCAGCTGTATATTGCTGTATGGCAGGGAATTTAACTAAACAGGCTGTGTGGTGCTTCCAATAATATGATTTAACTAATAAATTTAACTGATAAGATACTTTTAAAACAGCCTGTTATTGTTTCTGGAAAAATCACAGGCAAAAGAAAACAGCACAAACTGTGGTTGATATTAAAGTATGTTTGTGTAATTGGATTTGACAAGATTTTTAGTAGGGTCATCATGCAAGTCTTTTCTGGTTATATTTTGGATAGAAGACATTGAGCAGAAACTGTTTAGATGTCTACATGTTGATTTAAAGAAAATGGAAAATTGAGGCAGGGACAGTCATGTAATAATTCATCTGAGACACAAAGGAACAAAGAGCAGAAAGACTATGTTTATTTCTGTGCCTTCAAACATTTGTCAGCTTATGGAAACCCACAAATCTCATAGGGTTTTCTTAGGTAAGGAATATTCAGAAACGGTTTTGCAAGTCCCTTCCTCTGAAATACAGGCCACAGCAGCTATATTTATTGGTGGGCTCCAATCCAATTCATATAAAGAGACAATTAGTATAAAGAGACAATAACATTTGAAGGGTTTGATTTAAGAGCTGGCTGGCATGCCTATTTATGGTATGGAAAAAAGGAAAGTTGAGGAAAAAAACTGGCAACCACTTTATCAGATCAGCATTGATAAAAATATGGGAAAAATACAAAAGTAGACTATATACAAAAACCCCACTATGGATCTCCCCATCAGAAGCAAGACACAGAAGAGAATTGGGACAGGAAAAATGGCCAGATACAGAGATATATTGAAAAACAAAATGGAAATACCATATTAAAAACACAAGAAGAAATCAATCAAATAAACAAGAACATCTCCTGGTTCCAATACTGACAGATAAGAGAAAGCTATAACAAAGACAAAAGGATTTATGGAGAAAAACACTTTCTGGGATAAAATAATGATGGCGAATAAGAAACTAATAACAAAAATATACAAAAATATTATAATGATCAACAGAAACAGAACAAGTAAAGGACTGCATTGTCAAATTGGCTACAAACATTGGACACACAATTAAATTAGAAGAAAGGGGGAAATATGGAACCAAAATTTAAAGTATACATATTTGTATGATTTGAAAGAAAACTGGTATATGTATCAATGGTACATAATACTACAAAAATTAGCAAAATGCTATTTAAAAGTCCAAGAGAAAATGCTGGAAATGTGAGGACCATGTAGGAACTTTTTTCCACATGTGGTGGACTTTCAAAATTGTGAAAAAATATTGGAAAGAAATTCAATAAAAATATCTAGAAAATATTAGATATAAAACTTTAATTGAAACCAGGATATGTTTTATTAGGAATTATTATTATTTATACGCTTGTATACCGCTAATATCTCAGCCTAAGTCGGCGACTCATTGCGGTTTACAACATTTAAAAAACAGTATTCAGTTTAAAAGCATAAAACACATATACAATACAAATTATTGGGCCACCAATAATAATCCCATGCATCTCATAACTGGAATCGCAGTCCAAAATTCATCGTCCATGATTACCAATCCTTTAGTCATCAAAATTCGTTGCAACGGATTAACCGAATGCTTGTTTAAACATCCATGTCTTTAATCTATTCCGAAACACCATCAGCGAGGGGGCTGATCGTACCTCTATGGGGAGGGTGTTCCAAAGCCGAGGGGCCACCACAGAAAAGGCCCTGTCTCTCGTTCCCGCCAGCCGCACGTGTGAAGCCGGCGGGATAGAGAGCAGGGACTCCCCAGAAGACCTTAGGGTCCTGGTGGGCTCATAGGCTGAGATACGTTCGGATAGATAAGTTGGGCCAGAACCGTTTAGATTTTGATCTAGACAATAATAAAGACAGATTATTTAATTACTTAGTGATGGCAGCCAGAATAATATATGCATAAAAATGGAGGATAAAATAAATACCTTTAACAGAACATTGTTGAAAAGAATTGATATAATGAATATGGATAAACTAACCATTTAGTTTCTCAGCATCCATGTGGAAATAAAAAACAATGCACTGGTGACCATTAAGAGACTATATGTTACAAGAAAAAATGAAATTGATGACAGAACTAAAATGAAGATTAAAAGAAAAATTGTTCCCTGAGGAAAGTGAATGAAGAGAGGTTAGCAAAATTATGAGAAATTAAGAAAGGACAATGTAAACCACAGTGGAGAAGATTGGAAGCCAACTTTTTCTTCATTACCCTTGTTTCCTTCCCCAGCTTGTGCACTGTTTCTCTCTTTCTGTCTTTTTTTCTTCTTTTCTTCTTTTCATTTTTACTTGTGGAGTAGTTCCCCCATTAGACCTTCCCTCACTACCCTTATAGATCCCAACTTTTTATACTGTAAAATAGAACTCTGTTTTCAATTAATAAAAATTATATTTAAAAGCATAAAGAGACAATATTCCACAGGCCTGCAGGATTAGTTAGGAACACTATATATATCTCAAGATATTGTGTCAGTCAATACAAGGTAAATAACTGACAGCTTGTTTTTTTTTCTTTAATTATATTCCTAAAACTCACACCAAGCTTAAAAAAGACAGATGACCAAAAATCCACCACTGGTGCATCCTTCTGGGGTTTAGTTCAAACTTTACGAGCTATCCAAGATGGTCTGTGCTTTTATAAATAGAATTTATCACTATAAATACATAAAAGTGAAAAGCACTTTTATGACTCAAACTACAATCCAGAGTGAATTTATGACCTCAGTGATATGGAAATCATCATCTACCACTGTTTGGTAGGCTCAACGTCCATCAAGATTATTACCAACAGCTAATTCATGGGTTGCTACATAATAATTTCTGTCTCTTTCATTTTTTTAATACAACTAAATCCAGATTGTTCATAACCAATTCTATTTTCTTCTACTTACTCTAATATGATGGAGGAAGGCAGACAACATTTTCAGTCGGTACCCTCCCATGTTTCCCTACATATTTTTTTGTTGACCAGAAAAAAATAAACCTTAAGAAAGAAAAGATGGTGTTTTGCTATAGGATTTTTTTTGTCGCTACAGGATAATCCAATTATAGCACTATGCTGTAGCCATTCTTAAAAAGAAAAGAAAAGAAAAAATAAACCTTTAAATATAACCTGTTATATTTCTTCCTTAAGAGAATAATTCAACAGGAATCAGAGGCCCTTTCCACACAGCTGAATAAAATCTCACATTTTCTGCTTTGAACTAATATATGGCAGTGTGGACTCAGCTAACCCAGTTTAAAGCAGATATTGTGGGGTTTTCTGCCATGATATTCTGGGTTAAATGGCTGTGTGGAAGGTCCCAGAGAAGGACTTCCAAATGAGAGAAAGTGTGTTGTGCCCAGGCTAAGGAAGCATTGTGAAGCTACCTGAAACTAATTTGAATCAACTGGAAGCTAAAATATGTAAACAAAGAAACAGGTACAGTAATCACAATATTGGCATCTTTCCACTTCTGTTACAAGATAGTTAATTACTTTCACACTGTCTGAAACTCTGTGCATGTTTTGTAGATTGCATAATAATCCATCGACACAATTATAAATACAGGAAAATTTTCTCAAAAGGACAGAATCAAGAATCGGGAAACTTTTTCAGACAGGTGAAAATCCAACATTTAATTTCTCACTAGTTTTATATAGTACACCGAAATTAAGAGACATTAATTAACATAAAGCAAAGCAATTATATTTTAATATATCTGTAAAATTTGTTTCCTGAATCTTAATTAGCAAAACTCATCTATTATCAGATTCATTTAGGATACAGACATATTTGTTTGTTCAACTATTGTGCCTTCTATATGATGCTATTAGCAATACAAAAGACCTGAAAGAGAACATGTTAGCACAATAGTAGTTCTGAATCAAACAGTCATTTGTTTATTATTTATTTTATTTCTATCATATTTTCATCCTTAGATATGATTCAAATCCTAATTAGATTGTAACAGCAAGCTATTTCTTATTTTTATGGTATAGGGCAATTCTGTCAAAATGCTTTCATCACAAAAAGGAAAAACTGATGCAGCATGACAGCTGCCATCAAACAGTTAAAGCTTAATACTTCCATTAAGGAATCAAGACAATGTTTGGGAAAATATAGTTTATTAATTAATGGCAGTTTAGGAAATTATTATGTACAGTTCAGTACCACAGACCATACAGACTCGTATAAAATACAGAATTGAAGGAAAGAATTAAGATCAAAAAGAAAACTTCATTAATAAATGATGAAAGGAATCAACTATGTAACAGACAGAATTAATCTGTAAAGTCAATGTTTTTAAAATGTCATGCATTTTGAAAATATCGTGCAAAAAGCATTTTAAACACAAATTATTCACAAATCATTTTGTTGATTCACAAACAGAACTGAGATTGTTTGTGGGATCGTGGTCAAGAGGAGACAGAAAGTTAGAAATGAGAGGGAGAAAAACAGTCTTGATCTCACTCTACATGTGATTTTTTGTCAATGCTAATAAACACTATTGTAGATTTTACATTTCAGGGAATGAAAACTGAAATACAAAGATTCACAGAGATGCTATATCTCCACAGGCTGAGATTTCAACAAATTCATTCAATACTCCAACCCTTCTACTAAATTTTAAAATCAAGAGCTTCAAATAACACATTAATGTCCATTTAAGTAATAGGTAAAAACATCACAACTCACCCCTTCTGCTTTTTCCTCCGTATTAGCCAACATTTCCTGGAGAGCTCTCACTGACAAAGACTGTTCCAGCACAAAATTGCAGATTGAGAGATCCGGAGGAACATTCTAATTTTAAAAAGAAGAGGAAGAAAGCATTGAATTAAGCATTTCATATAACTGAAATTTGTATTACGTCTACTCAGAAGCAATCTCCATTGTCTTCAATAGATTTACTGGCAGTCGAATGTCCTTAAGATTGTAATCTTCATAGTAGTTGACACATTCTTTATTTACATTGCTATCTTAATTATGCTTCATCACAAATATCTTCTTTCAAATCAATCTGTATAATTATACAAACATTTGGGACCATCCCCTTTTGACAGTCATTGTTGAGCAAGTCCATGAAGACAAAATAAGACAAAAGATACATTAAAACTTAATCTACTGCATTAATTTCAGAAAATTCTCATTAATTAAATGGATTAACACAAAGAAAAGACTGCTGAAAAAATGCTATCAAGTATGTCTTCTGGTGTGCGTGAGAGAAAAATAAACAGATAACTGGATAACATGTCCTTATCCAAAGAACAAAATTACAACAACGAACAAAGAAAGTTTGTCAACAATATCTTGACAATCAGAAGTGCAGAGATATCTTGTTTGGATAAGACTCCATTGGCAGAAACTGTGAGTACAACCCCACCCCAACAAAAATGGCACTCATATTCATGGGACCAGTACCTGCAGTTTCAGTTACCTGTCACTGACAAAGTATGTCCTCTCTAGCATTTTCTAGGCCCTTCAGGTGATGTAGTTGATTGGATTTTAAAGTGGGGTTTCAGTGGTATTTTTCATTGGCAAATTGTTGTTGTTGTTGTTCTCAACTATGGCAATGATGTCACAATCATAAATATGAATAAGAAATAGTTGTGACCTCCTAACACTTTAAAAATGCCAGCCGATGTTTCTTAAAAACCAATTGGACACACCAGAATTTAAGTAAACTTCAGGCACATCTACCCTAATGCTTATTTTGGAGCTATTCCAGCTATTTAGACACTGGATCAGCTGCTGTGGAGACAGAAGTTCCCCACCTATCATAAACACGAATGCTAGTCAGCCACCCTATCTGCCTCCCCAATCCCTGTATTGCTGTGATTTTTGGCCGCAACACACATCCTACCCATTCCTCGTCACCTGTCCTGACATCAGCCAGAGCGATGAAAGGACAGAGGAGAGGAGGGGGATTTCCTCTTAGCCTTACTCACGTCTAAGTGCTTCCTGCTCTCTATGGGTGATGCCATAGCAAGTGATGGGGAACAGTTAATTCCAATGTCATTGCTAAAGACCACTGTGGCACATAGGTGGGGGGAAGAGGACTGCGATCCTCTGTCATAGAATCATAGAATCATAGAATCAGAGTTGGAAGAGACCTCATGGGCCATGCAGTCCAACCCCCTGCCAAGAAGCAGGAATATTGCATTCAAATCACCCCTGACAGATGGCCATCCAGCCTCTGTTTAAAAGCTTCCAAAGAAGGAGCCTCCACCACACTCCGGGGCAGAGAGTTCCACTGCTGAACGGCTCTCACAGTCAGGAAGTTCTTCCTAATGTTCAGTGGAATCTCCTTTCCTGTAGTTTGAAGCCATTGTTCCACGTCCTAGTCTTCAGGGAAGCAGAAAACAAGCTTGCTCCCTCCTCCCTGTGGCTTCTCTCACATATTTATACATGGCTATCATATCCCCTCTCAGCCTTCTCTTCTTCAGGCTAAACATGCCCAGCTCCTTAAGTCGCTCCTCATAGGGCTTGTTCTCCAGACCCTTTATCATTTTAGTCGCTCTCCTCTGGACACATTCCAGCTTGTCAATATCTCTCTTGAATTGTGGTGCCCAGAATTGGACACAATATTCCAGGTGTGGTCTAACCAAAGCGGAATAGAGGGGTAGCATTACTTCCCTAGATCTAGACACTATGCTCCTATTGATGCAGGCCAAAATCCCATTGGCTTTTTTTGCCGCCACATCATATGTTGGCTCATGTTTAACTTGTTGTCCACGAGGACTCCAAGATCTTTTGCACACGTACTGCTCTCGAGCCAGGCGTCCCCCATTCTGTATCTTTGCAAGTTATGCCAAGTGGAGTATCTTGCATTTGTCCCCACTGTGAACTTCATTTTGTTAGTTTTGGCCCATCTCTCTAATCTGTTAAGATCGTTTTGAATTCTGCTCCTGGTCTTCTGAAGTATTGGCTATAACTCGCAATTTGGTGTCGTCTGCAAACTTGATGATCATGCCTTCTAACCCTTCATCTAAGTCATTAATAAAGATGTTGAACAGGACCGGGCCCAGGACGGAACCCTGCGGCACTCCGCTCGTCACTTCTTTCCAAGATGAAGAGGAAGCATTGGTGAGCACCCTCTGGGTTCGTCCATTTAACCAATTACAGATCCACCTCACCGTAGTTTTGCCTAGCCCACATTGGACTAGTTTCCTTGCCAGAAGGTCATGTGGGACCTTGTCGAAGGCCTTACAGAAATCCAGGTATGCTACATCCACGGCATTCTCCGCATCTACTCTATCGAAAAAAGCAATCAGATTAGTCTGGCATGACTTGTTTTTGACAAATCCATGTTGACTATTAGTGATGACCGCATTTGTTTCTAAGTGTTTGCAGACCACTTCCTTAACAATCCACAGGCCACCTGAGCTTGGGGAAAATAGTATAGCGGCTGGGACTGTTGAAACTGATTTTGTCTGGGAGTCTGCTCAATTGTTCTGACTGGCACTAAACTAGGAGAAAATCCACATTCTGAGGTAGAATTCAGACTCCCCCTCTCCCACTTTGAGTAAAGTAGGGCATGCATTTATTCCCCCATGTTACTATGGATCAGGCTCGTGTGGGCTTTGGCTTCTACAGAGCTGATCCTCATCTACACCAACTTAACTGGTTGGTCTAGATGGGGCCTTTGATGGGTTCTTTTAATTCTTGGAGCCTGTCTATACCACCCAAATAATCCAGCTTCATTATTTAGTCATATAGCACAATTATTTAGTCATTTAGCACAATAACTAACTGCAATATATTACATTTTTTATTGCTGTGCCTGCCCCAAATAAAAGTACAGGTTTTATTAAATCTTCTCCCACAAAAATTATTTATCGGCTGTTGCCTTCCCAGCCACAAGCCTGCTGCCTGAGCCTCACTGGGAAAATTCCTTGCTTTGATATTACAGTGAGGTGGACAGCCATATGATCAATGGTGAGGAGGTAGCCCAATTGATTTCATTGCTCAAATCTTGCCCTGAGCAAGCAACAGGAAGCTATCTGACCAGGAAAACACCAGCTGCAGCTGACCCAAGCACAAGGCAGAAGACCTTCTTCCCCATCACCATTTTGAAAGGCAAAAATAAGAAGAAAAAGCAATGGCAAATCACTGCCTTCCAATTTACTTTATTTTTGCACTGGGAAATGGGGGTGGGAGAGAGGTGCCTGGTCTTTCCTTTCTGCTTGGGTTCGCTCAAGCTCACCAGTTCTGCTCAGAAGAGATTTGCCGCCGCCACCACCACACCCCTTCCCAGTACAGACAGGAGAAAACACAGCAACTAACAGCTTTTTCCTGGAAACTGCAGCGTAAGAAATGACTTTTCATATCTCATATTAAAGTCTAAAACAACAACTTTCACTGCTAATGGGGTGATACATTGTGTGTCACCATAAATGCATTTAAGATGCATGCCCTAAGATACCTATAAATATTTAAATCTTGCAAAATACATAAACATTGCAGGGAAATAAATCTTAATTTAAGACTAAAAAAGTAAAAAGAAAATGAAGGGAAGGATACTTTTACTATTTAATCTTCTGCTATGGTGACATTAATGCACAAGCTGCTAGCACAGGCAGCAAGTATACTCACTGGGAAATAAAAGGAAATCTTGCCACTTTACAAAATGTATTATTGTGTGCCTTTCCTGTGCAAACTGCTTGATGACACAAACCCAATCTTTCTTTGCAGTCACAATCTTAAAAAGAAAAGCATACCTTATAATAATAATAATTATTATTATTATTATTATTATTATTATTATTATTATTATTATGTTTACTTATACCCCACTTTTTCTCACCACAAGGACACTCAAAGCAGCTATTACCAGGGACTCAAAATGTCTTTGCTGTCTTATCATTAAGGAGTTCCCTTTGCTTCTCAAAGTACTGCCTTGCCCAAAATAATCCCGAAACTTAGCATAGCAACATAGGTTATAGCTGGGGCTCCTTCCATACAGCTGAATAAAATCCCACATTTTCTGCTTTGAACTGTAATATATGGCAGTGTGGACTCTGATAACTCAGGTCAAAGCAGATACTGTGTGATTTTTCTGCCTTGATATTCTGTGTGTGTGTGTGTGTGCTGTGTGGAAGGGCTCTGAGATAGGTAATGTGGGGCTTCTGTGAGTGAAAGACACTTGAGGCAACTAATGCTTTGGATATGAAGGCAACAAAATTCCATTCCCCTTTTGGGAAGACACAAGGTTGGAGGAAAGCCAAAATTTTGGCTATCCAGCATGACAAAATTTGCCAGTGCATTTATATATGGGGTTTTTTATCGTGTCAGAAGCGACTTGAGAAACTGAAAGTCACTTCTGGTGTGAGAGAATTGGCCATCTGCAGAGACATTGCCCAGGAGAAGCCTGTGGGAGGCTTCTCTCATGTCTCCTCACGGGAAGCTGGAGCTGACAGACGGGAGCTCTTCCCATCTCACGAGATCAAAACGGGATCCCTGACAACTCAGCAGCCCGCTGAGAAGTTTTTGTTTGGTTCTTTGTGGACAAAGTCGCTCTGATCCACTCCGATTTGGACACCATGTTAATGGCAATCTCTGAGGATGTAGCACAAGCACCTGCTTGTCTGGTTTTGATAGATTCATTTCAATTGGTGCAGCTCGATGATGTTGACAATTTACTTGGAGAGATGAGGGCAAGCAAATGCATCCTAGACTCCTGCCCATCCTGACTGGTAAAGGAGGCCAGAGGGGATTTGGAAGAGTGGGTGAAGGTGGTGGTTAATGCCTCCTTACGGGAAGGCAAAATTCCAGCCAGCTTAAAACAAGCTGTAATAAAACAA